TGTTAAAGGTAATTCTGGTGAGAACTCAGAAAGAAAAGAGGAGAGCTGGAGAAAAAGCCCTCCTAGTTCTTAGAGTACATAATAATCATGAATGGAATGTTGGCAGAAATGTGAGCAGTGAAAGTCATTCTGATGAGGTCTCATACAGAAATGAGGAATATGGTACAGGCATGGAGGAAAGGCAACCCTAGTTATAAAGCAGCGAAGGACTTAGCTGAATGGTGTTTGTGTTCTAATATTTTTTGGAAAATATAGTTTGTAAGAGATGAAACTGGATATTCAGTTCAGGAAATTTCTAAGCAAAGTGTTGAAGGAGCAGCCTAGTTCCTTCTTCCTTCTTATAGTAAAATACAAGAAGAGAGAAATGAATTGAAGAAGGAATTGTGAAGCAAAAAAGAAATTAAGGATTCAGAAAATTTTCAGCTTGTCCATATTGCAAAACAATAGAACATGTTCCTAAGTGAATATGAAGTTATGGTGGCCAACTATTTTGTAAGGCGATTAATTTGTGAACCAACTGGTCATCTAAACAGAAGCCAGGATTGGGAAATACTGCCACCTGAGACTGATAAAAATAAAGAAAATGATTCAAAATGAAGGAAGTATGAACATCATTACTCTTCAAGAAAAAGGAAGAAGGACCCCAAAGGCAGTTTCAGAGATCATTAGGGCTGCTGCTCCCACCACAGGACTAGAGTTCAAGGGGCAAGGTTGCCTCTATCTTGGTTCAAAGGGCAGTACCACCACCCAGAAGAATGTCACATGGGTCAGCTATTATAGAACATAGCATGGGTAGCACTTCAAGGGAGCCAAAGGTGCAGGGTTGTCCCATGGGGATGATACCACCACCTCAGTAATTCCTGGGGGGAAAAAATCACTGCCCCTGTTGGGCCAGAAGGCAAAGTACCAAACCAAAGAGGATAATTCTTGAGCCTTAAGATCTAATGAGATTTGCCTCGCTAAATTTTGGACTTACTTGGGTCCTGTTACCTCTTCTTTTTACCTATTTTTCCCTTTGGAAATGGTAATGTGTATTCTATGACTGACCTACCATTGTATTTTGAAGTACATAATTTACCTGGTTTCACAGGTTCATATATGGAAAAGGATTCTTCCTCAAGTCTCACCCATATCTGATGAGACTTCGGACTTTGAGATATAGAGTGATACTAGAATGATTAAGACTTTTGGGACTGTTGGGATGAAATCAATATAGTTTGTATGTGAGAAGGACATATACTGGGGGAGTAGCAGGGGTAGGGTGTTATGGGCTAAATGTTTCTGTTCCCCTCAATTCCATACATTGAAGCCCTAACCCCCAATGTGATGGTATTTATTTAATTTAAAAAATATATACTTTTTATTGAATTTTTACAGAGAGGAAGAGAGAGGAATAGAGAGTTAGAAACTTCGATGAGAGAGAATCATCGATCAGCTGCCTCTTGCACACCCCCTACTGGGGATGTGCCCGCAACCAAGGTACATGCCTTTGACTGGAATCGAACCCGGGACCTTTCAGTCCGTAGACTGACGCTCTATCACTGAGCCAAACCGGTCTCGGCCAATGTGATGGTATTTAAAGACAGGGACCTTTGAGAGGTAACTAAAGTTAAATGATAACATGAAAGTAGGGCCCACATAATAGAGTTAGTGGCCATATAAAAAGAGGAAGAGACCAGAGCACCCTCTCACAGCCATGGGAGGACTCAGCAAGCCAGGAAGAGGGTTCTCACCAGGAACTAAATCTGCCTACACAATGATTTTAGACTTTCTAGAACAGTGAAAAATAAATGCCTGCTGTTTAAGTACTAGGTCTATATTATCCTATATAATAAAAATCTAGGTGGCATCATGCCCTCGGTTGACATTGTCACAAGAGGGCCACCTAAGATGGCTGTCCTCACTTAGTCACAAGATTGCCACCACAAGATAGCTGGCAGGGGTGGGCAGTTGGGGGTGATCGGGCTGGCAGGGGAGGGAAGTTGGGGCGATTGGGTCAGCAGGGGGAGGGAGTTGGGGGTGATCGGGTTAGCAGGGAAGTGCAGTTGGGGGTGGGGGGGCGATTGGACCAGCAGGGGAGCAATTAGGTTTCGATCAGGCCGGCAGGAAGTGGTTAGGGAGCTATCAGGCAGGCAAGCAGGCGAATGGTTAGGAGCTAGCAGTCCTGGATTTTGAGAGGCAGTTGGACATCCCCCAAGGGGCCCCAGATTGGAGAGTGTATGCTGGGCTGAGGACAACACCCCCATGCATGAATTTTGTGCACTGGGCCTCTAGTTTTGTTATAAGAGCCCGAGCTGACTAAGTTAGATTGTTTGGGTCTTTTGTTGTTGAGTTGTAAGAGTTCTTTATATATTCCGGAACTTAACCCTGTATATGATTTTCAAGTATTTTCTCCTATTTTCTGGGTTGTCTTTTCATTGTTTTTAAAGGCATCATTATTAGGTCTAATTATATTAAAAGTACTTTTAACTTATGACTTTTCCAATAAATGAGATTTGGCGAAAATAAGAGATCATTAATGCAACATCTTTATTACCTGGAACTGGCATTAGTTTAATGATAAACTGTTTACTCTTCAATTCCCTACTACAAACCACAACTGAACCCATAAATTGACAAGATGAGTTTAGGCATGCTCAATCAAGAGATGCTAACTCAATGCTTGTTCATTCTGGGGTAAGTGATGGAGAATGGCAGAGAAGTAGCCAAACATACAAAAATCAACCTCTTACATATCATCTAGATACAAGGGGCAATCATTTGACACTCGTGAGAAGTTTATATGCTTTAAGTCAGACTAAAGCAATTAGAGTTAGAAATAGCTTGGGAAACATACCGTGTAAGAAATTACAACAGAAAGTAAATTTTGATTTTTTAAAATAGGCGCTACTAAATTTTTCTTTATTTCTTATTTTTATACATAATCCTTTTCTTGTGACTAAAAGAAGCCTAAAAATACTCTCTGCTAGTCATATTAATGATTTATTAATAACATTTTTTTAAACAGGGGTCTTTGTGATTCTTAATGGCTTGACAATTCAGTGCTGTGAATAGAATAGACTTCACTGCTCCATCATTTTTTGGAACAACAATTATCTCCATAGATGCCAAGCCAATACATAGAGCTTAATATTAACCCAGAGACCTTTAAATTTGGTCTACTAGAAAGTTTAAGAATCTTCTGGAATTCTTTTTCATTCTAATGGAAATAAGATTATGATGCCTCTGGTAAGCATTCAGCTAAAATTTCTTCTGGTATCTATCTATTTATCTATCTAGACACTTCACTATCAGATATTCCCTAAGCGCCATTAAGCTTTAAGCCAATTTTTTTTTGTGATAACCAAAACAGGAAAAATATTGTCAATCACCTTAGTTACTGAGGAAAAGAAACTTTTTATGTTAGGTTGTAGTTTATAAGAGTGAGGTATATATCAACAAACACCTAGTAGTTCATCTTTAAGAAAGCATTTCCTTTAGCCAGCTTTTCCACAATGAGCATGCTTATTGTACCCTTTCCCTGTATCATCCAGAATGGCTCCTGTGATTGAGTTCAGAGGACACAAGTATGGTATCATTTAAATGACCATGTAGAATTTGTGAGGACTTTTTCTTGTGTGAGGGAGAAAGGAGGTAATATAAATATATTTACTTATATTTTACTTAATATACCTTACTTAAACGAGGTAATATAAATGTTGGATGTCTCATACTTCTTGGATATCTCATAATGTTTTTCTTTTAATGGCAGCATAATTTTTTTCTTTTACTGGTACCATTATAACAATATGCCCACTGTTCTGAGTGAGCGAGTTTCATTGTATTTGAAAGTACTGGGGATGTTACTCAGTATAACCTTTGTATTTAGAAAGTGAAATATTAAGCAGTCTGTAGGAAATGAAAAATATCAAAATAAATGACAAACATAGGTATAAAGTTGAAGGCTGAAATGTTCTTCAGTTGATATTTTCTTAAAAGTTAAGGAAAGCCGGGACCAGTTTGGCTCAGTGGATAGAGAGTCGGCCTGCGGACTGAAAGGTCCTGGGTTCGATTCCGGTCAAGGGCATGTACCTTGGTTGCGGGCACATCCCCTGTGGGGGATGTGCAAGAGGCAGCTGGTCGATGTTTCTCTCTCATCGACGTTTCTAACTCTCTGTCCCTCTCAATTCCTCTCTGTGTAAAATCAATAAAATATATTTAAAAAAAAGTTAAGGAAAGTTAGCTTTTTTATTACTCAAGATAGTTCTGAATACTTGGACCAAAACTAGACCAACAATGCCTTTCTGCATTTTTAAAAAAGCAATCTAACATTTTTCTTTTTTACTGAGGCATAATTAACATATAAAATTATATTAGTCTCAAGTGTACAACCTAATGCAATCTACCATTTTAATTCTGAGTCAGTAACTGAATTCTTAAAGCAATCCTATTTTGAGAGACCAATTAATTATTTTGGAAAAGTAGGATAAGCTAATATGAAAAGACTGAAGAAAAATTAGAGAAACAACATTAATTACAGAAATGCTATAGGATATGGCCATAGATGTGAAACAAATCAGGCAAAGACAAATACCATATGATTTCACAAATATTTCTATTTCACAAATATTTGACAAATACCATATGAAATCTAAAAGACAAAATAAATGAAATACAAATAGACTCACAGATACAGAGAACAGACTGACAGTTGACAGAGGGGAGATGGGTTGAGGGGCTGGGTGAAAAGGTGAAGAGATGAAGAAGTACAAATTGGTAATTATGGTACAGAACAGTCACAGAGGTGTAAATTACAGGATAGGGAAGGTAGTCAGTATAATAATAACTATGTATGGGGCCAGGTAGATACTTGAAATATGGGGGGACCACTCTGCAAAAAACATGATTGTCTAACTACTATGCTATACATCTAAAACTAATACAGGATAATATTAAATGTAAACTGCAATAGAAAAACAACAACAAAAAGAAAAGCTATAAGATATTGAGAATAAACATACCTCCTGGGCTGTGACCGGCATTCCTCCTCTCCACTGTCTGCCTCCTGTATAGTCAGGAAAACGAAAAAACAAAACAAAAAAAAAACACAATTTACAACCTGAGGTCTCATATCACAATATCAACAGTGAAATTTTACTAAGCTTTATATGTAGGAACATCTTTTTCATGCTGTGTATTAACTAAGCTTTACATGTAGGAACATCTTTTTCATGCTGTGTACTTGAACTAAATTCTCTATAAAAAACGACTTTAACCCAGGAGGTTGATCTATATTAATAGAAGTTATTCCTGAAGGCAACTTCAAAAATAGTCTACAAGTTTCATTGATAACAAAGTACTAATCATTGAAGAATTACCTCTAAAAACCAACTCAAGATGTTATATTATTGTTACATATGTTTTTATGCTACTTCAAATTCACAGTGACCTATTAGTGATTCTGATCCCCAAAGAACAACCTAAACAATGAGCGCACTTCACAAAGTGCTCATTATCAAATCACCATGACCATCAACATAATGGCTATTACTTACTAAGTATTTATAACCGTTAGGCATCTTTCTCAACACTTTGTCCTACTTATTTCTTATAAACTCAAAAGGTTGATGGTCCATATTTTCACTGATTCTAACATATATAACTTAGGATAAATCAATGTGATAAAAATTACTGAATCATAGTTTGCCTGCAATATTTACTTTTTCTTAGTGGCACATAAAATAGAGTGTGTTATAACCTATGTGTGGGAACCATGCCAGAGTCGTCAGATACTCAAAACCAATTAGAGAGTGAAGGCCTTGTTAGTATGGCCAAGACTACTCTAACATGGGAATCTTAGTTAGAATGTTCAAGGCTAAGATGTCATACACAGGTACAAGGACAGCAATTGCACGGTACAATGCTCACATGTACCTCTCTGTAGCCAAAATGATTGATATAACTATTGGTAAGACGCCTCTTTTTGTCTAAATAGTATTAAAGTAGGTTACTGACCAGCCAGTGTGCTGGGGAGAAAAGGCAGGCACAGAGGATGCAGCTATGATATAAGGCTGGTGCTGCTGCGATATGAACTGGGAAAAGGCTGGGAGAGGTGAGAGAGGCTGGAAAGGCTACTGAGGCTATAGCTCTAAGGGAAAGCGTAGGTGCCACTGCTATGTAAGGCAGAAGGTCCAGAGGTAGCATGCAGTTGCTCAGATAATAGCTGTGGGTATAGCTGCCTCTTTGTAGGAAAGATGTATTCATTCATCAGCCAGTGTGTGGCTACCTATATGGGATTTTGCAGTGAAGAACTCCATCTACCATCCAATGTCCCAAGAAGGTCCAGTGCCTGGCAAAGGGGCTCAGACCCAACAGTTAGTGTGGCAAGTAGCAGAGGCTATGTGAGCCAGGTTCTAGCCCCACTGGTGAGATCTAGCTGTTCCTCCCTCACTCACACAAACACACACACCACACATCCACACACTCTCTTTCACTCCCTCACTCACTCTCTCTCTCAATGTCGTGCTGCTTGGCCGCCATCTTGGAATCCTCCTGATTTTTTTTTTTTTTTTTTAAGAGAGAATGGAAGGGAGGGAGGGAGGAAGAGAGAGAGAGAGAGAGAGAGAGGAGAATTGGTTGCTTCCCACATATACTCTGACCAGGGCCAGGAATGAATGTCCAACTGAGGTAACTGCCCTTGACCAGAAATTGAAGCCATGACCCTCTGATACACAGGCTAATACTCTATCCACTGAGCCACACTGGCCAGGCTTGTTATACACATTCTTATACATGTCCTTTGGTCTGCATGCACAAGAATGCCAACAGGATATATACCTGAGAGTAGAATTAGAAAATTGTAGAGTCAGTAAAGGTTCAAATTTATAAGATAGTGCCAAATTATTTTCTAAAGTGGCTGTGCTAATTTATATTCCCCCAAGAAGAAGCAAGAGTTAATTAATGTAAACCCTAGTCAACACTTGGAATCATCAGATGTTTTCATTTTTGCCTGTATAGTGTTTATCTCATTATTGTTTTAATTTGCCTTGCCCTCATTACTAATAAGGTTGAACACCCTCTTACATGTTTATGGGCCATTGTTAGCTTCATACCCTTCCCTCATATATAAGTGAGCAGATAAAAAAGGGGGTACTTTAAAAATGAGCAGATTAAAAGGGGGATAATTCAAATTATTTTCAGCTCTTTGGTGAATTTTTCTACCAATGAGAATTGTGATGAGAGCATGTAGACAAGTAAAAAGCAAAAACACCCTTGATACTTCCTTAGAGGGCACAAGGGGCCAAAACCAGTTGCATGCACAAAGATGAATAACATTTATTGAGCATCACTATAGGCTTTAAGTAACTTTATGTTATTTTATTTAATATATACCAAAACCCTATAGGACTGCTCAAGGTCACCTGGTGAAAGCAATAGACTTACAAGTCCAGGAAGTGCAGAGAATACCAAACAAGAGTATCCCAAAGAGGCCCACACCAAGACACAGCATAATTAAAATGGCAAGGGTTAAGACAAAGAGAGAATCTTAAAAGCAGCAGGAGAAAGGCAGTTAGTTACCTACAAGGAGCACCCGTATGACTATCAATTGATTTCTCAACAGAAACTTTACAGGTTCTTTGAACATCCTTTTAAACATTGTTTTAAAATCTATATTTGGGAGATTGCTTGCCTTCATTTCAATTAGGTCTTTTTCTATGAATTTCTCCTGTTCCTTCATTTGGGGAATGTTTCTTTGTCTCTCCATTTTGTCTGCCTCTCTGTAATTGTTTCTATGTATTAGGTAGATCTGTGATGCCTCCTGGTCTCGGTATCATGGCCTTGTATGAATATCTTGTGGGGCTCAATGGCACAGTCTCCCTGATCATCTGAGATAGGTGCTCCAGGAATGTCCCTTGTGTGGGTTATGTGAACCTTCCTGTTGTAGTTGAATCTTGATTGCTGTTGGCACATCTGAGGGTAAGATTGACTTGGTCTGACTAACCATGAGGATCAAACCCATGCAGAAGAATTTGCCCCAGCAGGGTCTGGTGCCTGCAGAAATCTCCCTTTGGGTGTGCCACTTTTGATCTAATTGGGTCATGCTCTGATGTGGTCTGAATCCTGCCATTGGGTGTGTTGATTTGGGGGCCTCTTGGAGTGATTCCAATGCAAATCAATGTAAAGCACATCTGTGACCAGTCCTGGGCTACCTGTTTGGAGCTACAAAGTAATCCAGTTTGTGGCTACCTCTGCTGGGCCTTGGGTGTATGAGGGAAGGGCCAAGCTGCTCTTGACTGATAGGAAGGGTGGAGATGTGAAAAGGGCTGGCCCTATACCCATGTGTAGCAGTTGAGGATCCAGGGGGATATCTCAGCTGGAAAGGTTCCCCCTGAAGTGAGTGGGATCTCAACATCACATGTGAATGGATGTTGCTGATTAGGCTTGCAAAGGAAAAATGACCCCTGCCCTAGAGCCAACAATTCAGTCCCTCCCTCTTTGAGAGCCTACTAAAAGAGTGGCACTGTGGGCCCAACCTGGCCATAGTCAGCTGACACCTCTGCAGGGCATGAGCTCAGCAGGTCAGGGCCACTGGGAATTGGGAGGATGGCAACGCTGGATCTCCCATAAGTGGGCAGCTGTCAGTCAAATACATGAGGAGGAGGGAGTACTCAGCATCTGAGACAGAGACACACAACTCAGTATCTGATACCCTGAGTTCACTCAATGTTATGTGGCTCTGATGCTCTCGGCTGGGGAACCCAATGTGATGTTGAGATCCCACTCACCTCAGGGAAAACCTTTACAGTGTTCACAGGAACAAATCAGCTTTGAGTCTGCTCTTGAAGGAAGAAAAAGATCTGAAGAGGCACAGAGACTGACAAGCATTTGAGATATGAGCAAGAGGAAAGAACAACAGGAATGTTTGATACAAAGATAAGTTGTTGCTGACAGACTTCTACTCCTGATCCCATGGGGAAGCAAAGGAAGGTATTTATTGGCATCTTAGAAAAGGGAATAAAACTATAAATTGTTGCTTTGGTAGCAATAACACACTCTTTAAGGAAACAGTGGCTTAAACTTGGAAAGCCAATCAAGAAAAATTGGTTACTTTTTCTAAAGCCAGTAGACACTGGTTAATCACAGATATCCACTAGAGGGCAGACAAGTCAAAGTTTACACTTTGGTTGAACTGGAGAAACTGCATCCATAGATGACATTAAGCATACAAGAGAACACTTCACATGTTTAAAGAGTATTTTCAGTGCCTTTAACTTTGACCAGATCCTTAAGCTAGCAGGCAAATATTTCATAGAATAAATTTATGTGGTGCAAAATGTTTCTTAATTGCAAAGTGGAGCAGTGGAAAAGTTATACTTAGGAATCTGGCTTAGCTGACTGGCACAGTGCTTTTACATGTCAAGCATACCCGGAATGCCAACAGAAGCAATCATCACTGGTTACCTTACCTCAGTCTTCCCCACCCATCTCAGGCACATTATAATCACACACAAAGTAACAGCTCACAATGTATATACTATCTGAACCATAATTTCAATCTAAGTTCTCCTTTTGGTCAATTGGGGAAAGGCTTGGTTTTAAGGACTCATATCTCTTTAATGTCAGAGTGAGGTGAGGTATTAGGTAGAGAGGTTCTTATTTGTGCAGTTTCCTCAGCAGACCAATGAGCTGTCAGATGAGGATGTTGGTGGAAGTCCTCAGATCTCAATAACTAGGACCCAGCATAAATATTAACATCAAAATAAAAGAGTTGAGAATCCCACCAGACTTTTTAGATACTAAGGCTAGATTTGCAAAGCACCATAAATACTTTTTGTTTTGATGTCTGGAAAAATGTCATTAAAGGTGCAAGGGCAACCCTATCTAGTAGGTTGACTTTCTGTCATTAGCTAAAAGTAGTTTTCTTCCATTCTTGACCAATGTTAGTATCATAAGCATTTTCTTTCTCCTTGGAAAATGACAACATTTAGTTTCAAATATTAAGTACTTCAACTGCAGGTGAATTTTGCTATACTTAAATGCTTGTAATATTTCTAACAAGCTAGG